AAAATTACTGGACTCGATTCTCGTTCGTCGCCTCACTGCAGAACGGGAATCTCGGATTAGGGAAGAACAGGCCGGTTTTCGCCCAGGACGTGGCTGTATAGACCATATGTTTACTTTGCGGCAGGTGCTAGAGCAGCGCCACGCATATCGCAGACCGACAATAGCTGTGTTCCTCGATTTCAAGAGTGCGTTCGATTCAGTCGATCGATTGATTCTGTTCGAAATACTTGCGCGGAAAGGTGTTCCCACGAAATATGTGAACATCCTTCGTGCTCTATACTCGAACACTAGAGGCCGCGTCAGGGTCTATGGTGCCCTATCGGATAGCTTTTCGACTACAAGTGGCTTTCGACAGGGTTGCCCGATTTCCCAATTTTTGTTCAATTTCGTCGTGGATTCTATCATGGAGTGTTCCCTTGCGGAATCTCACGATGTAGGTGTTGAAGTGCTGCCTGGTGAACGGTCAGTTGATCTAGATTATGCGGACGATATCGTCTTGCTTTTCGACAATGTTGAGGCGGCACAATCAACCCTGAATAGCCTATCCAGAGTGGTCCCATTATTTGGTATGCACTTCGCACCTTCAAGGTGCAAAGTGTTGCTGCAGGACCACCAGCCACTTGATGACCCCTTGACGCTTGCTAACGAGGAACTCGATGTGGTTGATCATTTCACTTATCTTGGCAGCTGCGTCAGCAATGATGAGCGCATAGAAACTGACGTGAGCTCACGCATTGCAAAAGCCAGAGCTACCTTCTTGAATCCGCGTCATCTTTGGCGACAGAAGGGAGTTTCCCTTCGTCTGAAAGACCGGGTATAAAAGGCCACAGTGAGGGTCGTTCTACTGTATGGTAGTGAGAATTGGCCCCTTCGGTCTGAAGATCTGAGGCGCCTTCAAGTCTTTGATCATCGTTGTCTGCGAAGCATTGATGGTGCCGGATTGCATTAGCTTGTCCCCAACGACGATGCGCGTAGGCAAGTACTAGGTAGTGATAATCATGCTAGCTCCTTAGAACAACAGACAGCACTGAATAAGTTACGTTGGCTCGGGCATGTGATACGTATGCCTAGTCACCGCTTACCTAGAAGGGCCTTGTTTAGTCTGCCAGGTGTAGGATGGCGCAAGGCTCGAGGCGAACAGAAGTTGACTTGGCAGCGGGAAATGAAGTCACTGACGACCAAACTGGGTACTGTTGGTCCGTCTCGCCTTCCGGGCTGGAGTCCATGTGACTAGCTTTGTGTTTGGCTCGAGACTTTACAAGATATGGCTCGCAGTAGACACCAGTTGCGCATCTGCTGCCGTCTCCTAATCGGATTGTCTGTTTAAAGTGTGTTTGGTGCTGAGTTATCTGCGGGGTACTGGCTGATTATGACGCGTGGCAGTGAAAGCCGCAAAGAAGCTGTCTCGCCGATGCCGCCTTATCTTTGCACGATAGCCAGCTGTTTGTGACGGTATGTTGTCTATACAAGGTGAACAATGAACAATGAACAATGATTTATGACGGGTAAAAAAGCAAGTGCTTGACATGTCCCGTAGGGTGGATAGCGTGACAAAAAAGATAGCGAGGGGATAATGTTGTCAGTTCGGGCGCTTACAGATGTAACTGCGTTTTCGTACAAAGGGGTTCGAAACGAGAATGTACGCACACAAAGCAACAGGAGAGTGGTTATTGTTCACATCATAGGCGAGAAAAATTTTAAAAAAACGATAGCAAGGACAACTCTTACTTGTGTGAGATTATCGTCGGTCGACAGGATACAGAAATCCAGTGTCTATAGTAGTAGCTTTTGTCAAATTTCGTGCAAAGCGTTTGGAGTGATTCGCTCTCGAGTAGGGTTATGGCACTATCCCCTGTCTGTTGGGCATTAGTGCCAGCATCTGGTGGTCATGAGCTATAGCACGTAGTGTAAATATGACAGGGTATCGTCAAAGCGTTTTTTGAAAAGGGGTAGGGTGGATGCATTAATTACATGTTCGGGGAGGGCGTTCCAAGGTTGTGCCACTCGAAGGGAAAAATAGTTTCGCCGACATTCCAGGCGGCTGTACTGCGTCTCTAACTTAAACTGGTGACCTCTTAGCGAGGTGTTGTGACTGAGTATTAGAAGGGAATGGCATGGGTGGTTGGGGTCTCTCAGGATTAGGTACACCATTATGAGATCGCCCCGTAGACGCCAAAAAGGTCCACTGTAGATTTTAAGGATCTTCAGCCTGAGTGGGTAGGGGAGGCTGGTCAAACCTCTGAGGCTCTTCGTTGCTCTACGCTGTGCAGTATCGAGCGCGGTGAGATGGTTCTTGAGCCAGGGTTACCACGGTTGGATAGCGTATTCCGCATGCAGCTTTGCGTACGCGCTAAACATTTTTGGAAAGATCGAAGGGTCAAACTTCCCGAAGGCTCTGCAAAGAAGGCCGAGGTACTGGTTTGCTTTCTTAACTGCCTTTTCAGTCTGCCTCAAACAACCGAGGTCATCTTGAACTATCACGCCGAGATCGCACTCGTGAGAAGCTCGCTGTAGAATTTGTGATAATAGGCGGTAGCAGTGCAAACTCTTGTGCCGTATACTGAGAACCTTGCACTTGGTGTAGTTGAAATGCAGCATGTTGTCGATGGACCATGTGTACGCTTTGTCCAGGTCCTCTTCTAACAACGTGTGATTCTCCACTGCAGCTATAGTGCGCCATACCTTTAGGTCATCAGCAAATAGCAAGCAGTTAGAAGACAGCACACTCGCGAGATCATTTATGAAGACCAGGAACAGGCGGGGTCCAAGTACCGAGCCTTGAGGTACGCCGCACTGAACTTCGATGGATTCTGATAGGTTGCTTCTAACCCTAACATTCAGGTGACGTTGTAGAAGAAAGTCTCCTATCCATATTTCTGGAGTTTGTGGAGGAGAATGTGATGGTCTATGCGGTCGAATGCCTTTGAGAAATCCAAGTAGGCCGCGTCGATTCCAACACCAGCGTCCACAGATTCCGTCCAGTTTGCTCGAGCAATCAAGTGATTAGTTGTACAGGAGCGATTTCTGCGAAATCCATGCTGTTCCGGAACGAGAATTTGGTTGTTCTCCAGGTACCCCATTAAAGCCTCAGCTACAATGGACTCCATAACATTAGAGATCACAGGAAGGAGTGTTATCGGGCGATAATTTTCTGGATCAGCACGACTTCCACTTTTGTAGATAGGCGTGATGATTCCGGGCTTCCACATCGTGGGGACGTGCATCTCGTTCATAGATCGTTGAAAGAAAATTGCTAATGGCCCTGCCAAACTCATGGCAGCTACTTTCAACGCCTTCGGATGAATGCCGTCCGCACCCGGGGAGGTGAACTCGCGCAGAGACATCAGTCTCTTCAGTACAGCTGCGGAGGTAAACGATATGTGGTTTAGCCCTGATGGCGGCGTTATCTGCTTAGGCAGGATGTACGGTGATTGCTCGCTTTGGAAGGTACGGCCAAATTGTTGTCCAAGGACGTTGGCTGCCTCTTGTGCGGTTTGGGCTAAGCCGCATGTTGTGTGCAGGGCAGGAATACCGCGCTTAACACGGCGCAATTTGTTTACGTGCCTGTATAACAGCTTGGGATTGGTGTTAAACTTTTCCGCTAGACTTTGTTGGTTCTTAAGTTTATCCTCTCGAACGAGTTTGACACAGTGGTTCCTGTGTATTGTGTAGACATCCCAGGTATGATCGTTCGGGGAGGCTATATAGGTGTGCCATGCTGAGTCCCTTAATGACATGCACATACGTGTCCTGCTGCTTACGAAAGACTTCATCCTTTTGGTCCGGTAGCGTTTGGTTTCAGATGTCCGTGCCACGAGCTTGGTAAATATGTTGACGAATTCATCGCAGGCCACCTCAGGCGTTAATTCACCTAAGGTGTAGGCGCCTTGTCCCTGGATGTTTGCTTAGGGCATTAAGGTTTTCAGGTAAGTCCCCCTTCTCTCCCTCTTTTTATTCTTTATTTCATAAGTGCTCATGGTTGTATGGCAACGAAGCATCAGTTCAGATGGATGATGTACTGCTGTTGATGATGACTGATGATGTTCAACGTGCGTGCCAGTGCAGCCTGTTGACTCGCTTGTCTTAGAGTGTGAAAGTTTTACGTCACCCGCGAAACGAGACAGCGTGGCCTCATAAAAGGCTGCTGTCGATAAGTGTCCAGTGTGGTGCGGGGAGGTAGATGCAGAGAGTATGACTCCAATGGCATTATAGTTGTTGTCAATTAAATTGGGAACTACGAAAGGAGAGTGAATAATGGGGTTTGGGAGAGAAGAGTGACAGGTGGAAAAGAAAGGCGCCAGGAGTAGCATGTTTTCACTTACCCTCTCTGCTGTATGCGGCGACCTTTGATAAGCTACGCGACTACCGATGCAAGATGTGGTTGGGATTTGAGGAAATAATCATGGTTGTACGTATGCTGATGTATTTGCAGGGCGCCCAGACCTAGACAGGAGAACAATTAGGGTCCTCATCCTAAGTCTTTGGCTCAAAAGCCTGTTCGCAAGGCAGTGGGGAGGTGGCAATGATTTAGTTTTACAGAAATGAAGGTTATCCCATTTCAAACCCCCAACCTGGAGGACCAGGAGACGGAGTTAGTCACAACGATGGGGGATTTATTACCGGCACTTTTGAAGTGCTTATCGTGTAACTGGACGGAGGCACGCGGTCTCAATCTGAACACTGTTATGAGTAAGAGAATTAATGAACGAAATCGAGTTATTGGACCGATGTGAATTGCCTCACAGTAGAGCTAGTAATCAGTATACGTCAGTGGTCGGGATTGTTAAAGCTAACCTAATGAAGCTCTGCCGTTTAGAGAACCGAGCACAAAGACTTCGCTGAGCGGACATGATATCACAGCATATGCGAGGTAATGTGTACAGCCGATACAGAGATGTGCTGATTTGAAACAAACCCTCCAGGCTAAGAACACATCTCTTAATATGAGATAGCTTTTGGAAGCAATTTCCACTCGCCAAACAAGTAATCAGGTTACTTACGGCAATATATTCAGCGTTCTTTTTGACCAAATCTGACAGTTTGTATAGCAATCGACCACGAGCAGAGGCATCCATGATGCGCCATAGCGTATCTCTGCGGAAAGCCGCTTTCGCAGCTGCAACTGCCTTAGTCACATCTGCTTCGTCACCTTCTTGAACTTGACAGATAATCTCCTCGGTGGCTGGCTTCACAGTTGGGAAGGTCTTACCAGACACGCTATTAACAAACTCATTGTTGATAAAGATCTGAAAGGAAAAGGTTGTAGTGAACAGGAAATAACAGCCGTGAATCCGATTAGTGTACACAAAGCGAGGAGAAAAGACGCGAAACATCTGCAAAGGCCCGAGGGCAACAATTGCAAATTGGCCCCCGGTGGTAGAACGACGATGGTTCCAGCAAACCTAAGATGCTTGATAAGAGAGTTAGGGTGCCCACCAACGCTTAACCATGAGGAAGGATGTTCTTACTTCCAGCTTGATCCACTTTAGCTTCGACAACTGAAGAGTTGTCACTTTACAAAATGGTTAAACCTATCCCACCCGCAATGGAAAATGCCCGCTATAATTAAAGAAGAGCAAACAAAAGATTAGTTTAAATTTCCTGTTGAAATGGTACACATCTCTATGGAATAAACTACAGTTGCAATTAAGGACCAGCGAGATCACACTTAAAGACTTTTCTTTCCAGGACATATGTGATCGAAATTTTCGACTCTCAGAAACCTATAAGTGCACTCCTGGAATCCGGCCCAGAAAATATATGAAAAAACTAACACTTTAATAATGTTACTCATTATATACTCAATAAAACTGCAAGAATGATCCAAATTGAATGTGTTCATAAATAAACTGCTGAGGAAACTCGCTGTAGGCTGATTTTAAATCCAGTGAACATTGAATGGCAGCTGCTCGCAAAGGTTTTGGCATGTGGATTATCCGCAGATCCTTCGGGATTATGACAACCGAAGTGTTGGCAAGATTATTTGCAGCCTTTGTTAGGCCACAATTAGAATACTACGTACAGGTTTGCCTACCCTGTCTAGTCCGGAACAAAATGACACATGAACGAGTGTTACGGTCGGGGGCGAAAGGAGTGTTTCAATTAAAGAGGCTGTCGTACGCTGAGATGTTAATCAAGTTGGACATGTTTTCGAGGTACTACATGCGATTTCGCGGTGATCTGATCCGCACCTATCGTATAATAACAGGTCGTCGCTCTTGGTTTATCTGGACTGTTCCATCCCACTTGGGTGTCAACTCTTCGAGAGCATCCACTGGAGTTGCACAAACCCCATTCGGACCAAGTTGGAACTGATGCTCGCTTATCACCCCGGGTTATAGACACATGGAATGCGCTGCGCGCTGTAGTAGTTTGGGAGCCAACGGTGAAAGAGTTCGGGCATCGAACTGACACCCGTGGTCTACAATTCAAAACCTTCCCCTTCGCATTTTAGCCTAGCCGTTAGCTGTTGGTGCTTATACCATTTTTTAACTTCTCAGTTGCATTCCAAAGTCGTTACATTCATTGCTCTAGCTTGTCTTGATTTTGTTCTTCCACTTTTGTTCCATTTCACAGCCGACACAGTGGGGACTGCTAACGCAGGGCAGGTGGGCATCGTTTGCTTGACCCTAGAGTGCACCGTGGTGCGACATCACTCTCGCCCTGAAGGGTAGAGTGTACAATGCAGCAGTACGTTCGATCCTACTGTACGGTTGTAAAACATTGCCGCTTAAAGCAGCGGACCTGAAGAGGCTAGTTTCGTTCGACCACCGGTGCCTTCGTAATTTAGCTCACATTTGGTGGGAACACCGCGTGAGCAACGAGCGTGTTCGACGACTTGTTTATGGCACTGGAAATGGAACTGAACCGTTCAGCACCGTTATTTCTCGCATCAGGCTCCGATGGCTCGGCCACGTGTTACGCATGCCAGCCCACCGACTCGCGCGACGTGTGTTATTTGCGCGCCGGGGTTGTGGATGGAAGAAGAGGAGGGGTGGCCAAACGATGACTTGGTCGAGAGGAATGAAGGCCCTCACTTCTGAGCTGGCCTCGGTTGGAGCGTCTCGGCTCCCTGTTTGGGGTCCGAAAGACGATGAACACGTTTGGTTGGACACACTTGCTGATATGGCTAGGAGCTGTAGCGCCTTGACGAATGCTACACAAGAAAACCGTAGCCCAGTAAGACAGAAGACGGCAAGATATTAAGAATGTCTTGAGAAAATAGCTATGTACAATAGCTATGTGAATATAGCTTGAGGACAATGAGAGAAAATGGTGAAGCAATGAGTAACCCCAAGTAGGAGCGCAACAGCCGGCAACGCGCGGGCAAGATGGCGGACCTGGTTCAAAATTGCAGTCCAGTATATATAGGCTTTGGACGGGTGCAAAGTAAAACAAAATGTGTACAAGTCTGAATGTGATGTTTGATGGAGTAAAATGTCATGGTCACTACAGAGCCGACCTCAGTGGCGTTCGTGCTGTGAGTTTCTTTGTCCCACCCCATCCCTCTTAGCCTCCCCCTCCATCCGCGATCTCATTATTTAGCCTTATATAATTTTGCGTAGTAATTTTTTTTGGTGCACAGCAGTCGGCTGGTAGCTTACCGGAACGATGCCCATCCGTTACCGGTAGCTCAACCAGCTTGCACCAGTTGCATTTTTCTCCTTTTTTCTATGTAATGCGGCACAGTAGCTGAGGTGTTCCCCACCCCTAGCTAACGTGTACGATGATGATGATGATGATGAGAGTGTACCGTGTGTGAGGATTTGGCTCCGCCTTGCAGATCGCCCCACAGACCACATAGCAAGATCAAGAACGCACTATAAATTGGAACAATCACGGGATATTCCTACTGTTCCGGCCTCACTTGAACTTGAACCTGTCATGAGCAAATATCACAACGAGGATAGTAAGAGCTGAAACGCAGATATATGTTTAACACATTAACACAGACATTAGGCGGAACGAGCTCAATCTAAGGCAGATGGGAGAAATAAGAATAGGAAACAGACAAACAAATTTCAGTTGCAATCTGTAAGTTTAAGGCCATGAAGCAAATTTCTAACAAGCACCGCATTAACAACAACCAATTAGCGAAAAGAGTGGAAAACATATCCCATTAGAAGGAGTAATAAACCACTGCAGAAAAGTATAATACAGAAAGCGTGGAAAACGAGTACGAACCTGGGTGAACTTGACCTCCGGTAAAGTTGCAGTGCAATCGCCTTGCACAACTGACGAGATCTCGCAGAGCCGCCAAAGCAGTTCTCGAATCTATGAGTTGTGAAGGCCACCTGTAGGTCAGGTCAGATGGACGATAGAGGCTTCCGCCTAACGAGCGTCCAGTTCTTGTGCCGGTAAGTGAAGCGGCCCCCGGCACTTCGACGTTGGATTGTCTCTTCTTGCTTCTGCAATGAAATGAAGCAAGAACAAGAGTAATCTCTGCACTTTCATATGCCAGCATCAAAATACACTACATATACCAGTACAACTACAATAGCTCTGGAAAAAGGATGGACCAACAATTGTCTAAGCCCCTTTTGAAGGCTACTATGGTCTCAGACTCCACTAAATCAGAAGGAAGTTTATTCCAGTAGTTAACTAAGTCGCAGTTAAGCACATAAACAAGCCCGTTAAAACTTTACTGCACATTTTTTGCGTAAACGCCTATCAAATTTCTATTACAGTAATTATGCCTAGATTATTATAGACCTAGTTAGTCCAATTTGGTTGACTCGGTTGTATCCACTAGCTGGTATTTTTTTGGCTCATTGGTTGGTAGAGAGCAGAAGGAAGTTCCTTTGTCAGCTCCGTCACTTCCCGAACATTGCGAGGGTTGCTGGGATCATTGCGGAACAAGGTTCAGCAGAAGATCGTTATGGTCGTATTGTGGGCAGCAGAATCTCTGCGCACTCATAGAGTGGGTATCCAACCGTCGTTTGAAACATTCCTCCGTCTCCGCATCGACGACAGCCTCTGGCAAGCTGCTCCAGTCATTCACTACCCGGGTGGATAGGGCCAGATCAGATCGTACACTGAGTCGCCGCGGTTTAAAACGTTTCCACCAGTGGCCTCCAGTTGCACAACTTGTGTTTAAACAAAAGAACGATTGCAGCTCACTCCCCAGCTCACTTCGTAGCATACGCCGAGTGAATATCATATCTCCGCGGCGACGACGATAATCCAAAGAGCACAGGTTCAACCGTTGAAGTCGTAGGAGGTAGGATAAGTCCCGCAGCTCTAGAACGGATTTGGATCCACGCCGTTGAACCTTCTCGATCATGTCAAGTTCAGACTTAGTGAGCGGATACGCAGCAGGCAATCCGCACTCGAGAACTGGGCGTACATGTGAAGCAAACAGTAGTCTGAAGAGTTTTGAGGTCAGGCGTAAAAAGGCTCTCCGTATAGCATGAAGTATTCTGTAGGCGGATGCGACCCTCTTCCGAGTGTTCTCGATTGATTTGAGATCAGGAGACACAATCACCCCTAGCTCCCTCTCTTGGCTGATATTTCTGAGCAAGAAACCCCCGATATGGTAAGCCCCAAAAGGCTGAGCAGCACCGATTGGAAGGACAGCGCATTTGTCATGGTTAATGGGCAACTGCCACTTTAGTGACCAATCGTGGAGCTGATCGAGTGTCGCTTGAAGTCTGTCTACATCTTCCAGACTGGATACCTCAATTCACAACTTCAGATCATCCGCGTAGATTAAGCAGTCGGTCTGCAGTTCGGAAGGCAGGTCGTTGATGAAGATATTGAAGAGTTCGGGGCCGAGTACAGAAACCTGGGGGGCACCACTGGTCATGAGAATTTGATCAGAAGGCGCTTCGTTAACTTTAACTTGCATGAAGCGACCGTGTGTAGGAAATTGGAGACCCAAGAAAGAAAGTTGCCAGTGACGCCGATTCCCCGGAGTTTGAAGAGGAGCGGCTCATGAGGGACCTTGTCAAAAGTCTTACTGAAATCGACAAACACAGCAACCAGACGCTTACTGACATCTAAGGATCTTGCCCATTTTCCCCTAGCTACCAGCAAATTTGTGGCGCATGAACGCGCCCTTCGGAAACCATGTTGGGCATGAGATAGGAACTCCAACTCATCGAGATGTAGGCGAAGGGCTCGTTTCAGAATACGTTCTATGTCTTTGCACAAAATCGAAGTCAGACAGATGGGACGATAGCTGGCTGGATTCTGTCGGTTCCCTCCTTTGTAAATGGGCTGAACAATTCCCACCTTCCAAACACTTGGAAGCCGCCCGATCTCGAGGGAACGACGGAAAATTTGACAGACAGGAGCGGCAATGTGTCCGGCCACGGTCTTAAGGAACAATGGG